CATCTTTATTATTATTCGCACAATTTTAATTGGTTTACTTGATTACTTGATAATTACAATATTTGCGTTATAATTGCGAAACACAGTTTATAACTTTTATGTTACTAACTACATACATTTCTGGAAATCAATACTCGTTTTCGTTTTTCACTCGCTGCTGAGAGAATAATTCAAAATGTGAGCGTAAGTTTGCTTCAACTGCTGAAGCGCAATCGAACACACATCGGACATACGTTTGCTGACATTCATGTGTACATTTCTCTATATGTTTGTAAAACTACATTATTTTAAGAAATATTGAGTTGAATACTAAAACTATTATTGTTCAATATTGTTCGGAAACTTACTAATTACCATACTTAGTGCTTATTGCTGCTTACATGCTCGGTCTTGGTGTTTTGTGCGAATTTCCGCATTTTCTTATTGCTCCTTATAATTAATGTTATTTATGCTTACGGATAGTACACGAAATACCCAAACGTTCAATCGTTTGAACTAATATTGTTCGTAAAGTCTTGATTTTGCTCCAAATGTTTGATTTGCATTAAAAGTTCCGTTATTTTGATATGCACAGCGCAACGAATCGAGGGGAAATTTTTGATTACATTTATGGACTGCACGTGGCATCTCTATTTCAAAACATTTATGTTGGTTAACATGCAAATTACCGTTATAATCATTATTTGGTGAATAAATTCGTTGCTTTTAAAAAACTGTGCTTGCTGGATCGGTATTTGTCTTGTTTAGAGTTGTTGTTTCAATGTTTATCTCAACCATTTGCTTAATTTTGATTGAGTTCTCTGAAAGTAGTCTTTAAAAGTAGCATCTGAAACCGTATACCAACCCTTTGTTAATTTGAGAGTTTCAATATTTAAAAATAAAAAATAAAATGTAAAATGTAAAATATTTTTTTCATAATTTTCAGTTTTATCATAGTGTTCGTACAAGTATTTATTCTCATGCAAGTATTTTTATTTTGGAACAAAGAAGAGGAAACAAATGGAATAACGACAGAGAAAGGAAATATCTTTGTACGGAATAAGAACGTAGGTATAAAAAAAAGAAAAATATAAAAAAATAAGAAGATAAGAAAACACTTGGCAATTTATAAAAAAATGTTGGTCAAAAACTCTCTTTCTTCCATCTTCTCTTCTCTCCCTATATTTATTTCCCCACATTCTTTCCTAACTTTTTTTCTTCCCTATCTCTACTCTCCCTCTCTATGGCTTTTGGAGAATCCTATATACGCTTATAAGCCTATTTGGCTAATTCATAAAAATTATAAAAGTACTTGTACATTGGAAATTATTAATTTCTGTAAAAGAAAAATAATATTTATAACACATATTAATTATAAAACTTAGCCGACACTTTTATAATATCTAAACGTGTCCACGCAACAAAATTATTTTTGAAACAAAATACAATTAACACTTTTCAAATCAAGTTGCAACCCTATTATAAAGAAACGTAGCCAAATTACGGAGTAACTGCAAAATTTTATTAGAAAAGTTTCATCGAATCAAGTTGGCAGCGTAATCATAACAAAGCATGCCGCAACATTTAAATATGCCTCTGTGTGTTAGTGTATTGCTAGATGTTGAGCTTTTGTTTGCAAACTATTTACTTGATTATAAGTTACTTAAACAAACAGTTTGCAAAGCTTTCTCGATTACCAACACCCACGTCGAGCACATACAAACACACTCCCGTACTTATCGCGCACATACATACACATATACAAATGTATTTGTTTGTAATTTCAATTTACATAATTTGAAAATAGTTAAAATAATTACTTGTAACGGTTAATTACAAAATCGCCATACACAATTATGAGCTCAAACTCATTAACATATTTGTATGAGCGAGTTGGAAGCAAATGACTTTGGAAAATGAGCGCAAAATGAGCAGTTAGAGTCACTCAGCAAGGAGACAGCGTTATTATTATCAGTCGAAAACGAAATTAGCACAAGCGAGTCCTCTAAATTTACTGAAATATTGACTACTTTTGAGCTGCTTTAAATATGTATATATGTATGTACGTGTGTGTGCTCCTGCTTGTTTGTATGTGAGTACGAAAATTATAGAAAACTATCGCTTACAGAATCTTGTGTAAAGTGCGTCAAGAGCATCGGTTGCTTTGCAAGTACAAAACAGACACTTATGCACGTCTGTTTATATGTGTCCGTGCTTTGATGAAATGAAGTTGCCACAGGAGATGCCGCTAATATTCCTGCTTATCTGCTTATGCCTTTGTCGTGGCAGCCGTAGTTAGGGTGTACGATGATGCAAATGAGTTGAAGATAAGCTTGTTTTTAGCAGCTGCTGCCAATGCTCATTATGTTGCCGCTGCTGGTTTCACTCTGCTACTTGCAAAATAATTTTAATGACTCAGATGATTTATTTATATGCTTAAAATTAAATATTTGCGCTTGGCGGACTTGCAAACGAAATTCTCTTAATACGCTCAGAAAACAAGACCTTGTAGAATTGAGTAGCAGACCCTAAAAAGAAACTAGTTCTTTATCAATAACTAACCTAAGGATGGAGTCATGTGTAGAAGTTCACGCAAGTGAGGAAAGTTCGCTGATCGCCATTCACTTGGGAGTGGCCAGAAACGATTCTTTTACATATGACTCAAGCAGCTCACGACTTCCGGTCGTTGACCAAGTATGTTACCGGATGTTCTAAGGCTACCCAGAGGCCTAAGAACTTCCGTCTGAAGGCGAGCTAAAGTGAGACGGTCCCCTATATAGGGTTCGGGACCCGCCACATAAAAAAAACCACCCCCAATGAAAGGAAACAACAAGCCTCGGACTATGATTTGAGGGCATGCACCTGGAATGTCCGGTCCCTTAATTGGGAAGGTGCCCTGCTGGTTGATGTCCTCATGAAAATAAAGGCTGACATCACCGCCGTCCAAAAAATGCGATGGACGAGACAAGGACAGAGACGAGTAGGTCCATGTGGCATTTACTACAGTTGCCATATAAAGGAGCGCAAGTTTGGTGTGAGATTCGTGGTGGGAGAGAGGCTCCGTCGCCGAGTACTATCATTCACTCCGGTGAATGAACGTCTAACCACAATCCGCATCAAAGCGAGGTTCTTCAACATATCGCTGATTTGCGCCCACGCCTCGACCGAAGAGAAGGACGATGTGACAAAAGATGCCTTTTATGAGTGCTTGGAATGCACTTATCAGAGCTGCCCACGCCACGATGTCAAAATCGTGCTTGGCGACTTTAACGCCTGGGTGGGAAAAGAAGGTATCTTTGGCACTACGGTCGGTGGGTTGAGGCTGATCGACTTCGCCAGGGCCCGAAATATAGTTATCTGTAATACTACATTCCAGCAAAAGAAGATAGATCAAGGTACCTGGCTGTCTTCGGATCGAAAAACCACCAACCAGATCGATCATGTTGTGATAGTCGAAAGACACGTCTCCAGTGTTTTAGATGTGCGTGCGCTCCGAGGTCCTAACATCGACTCGGACCACTATCTTGTTGCAGCCAAGATTCGATTATTTACCAATAACTAGTTATTTACGGCAATTCGAATGGCTTGTGAATGCTAAACTGCTTTCCACCAGTGTAGCAGGAAGTTGATACTTATGTTTCTCCGACCTTTTTAAGAACTTGTTTTAGTCTTCAGGCTCATCGCGCTCACAATATAATGTCAATAACTGGCACTGGTCCAAACGGGGACTAAGCAACGCTTCCACTAGTACATCGTAAATCATTCCTCGGCTACAACCACACGCATATTTATATTCAAGTAAATCACACGCTTGCCATAAAAATTATGCAAACCGCCTTAGTGATTTTATTTACATAGCAAATGGGAGAGTTGATGATAAACGAAATATGCAAACAAGTAGCGAAGCACGCACTTGGCATCAATCGGCTGAGCGCTGCAAACGCAAAACACAAATATAATATGTACATGCTTAAATATATTTTACATACTTCTGTATTTTATTTGGTTCGTTAGAATTTTCTTGCATTTTATACTTTTACACAACTGCATCAGAAAATTCTTTTTCCTTCCATATCTTAATTCTACATATTTCATATATTTCCTGACTACTATGGAAGAATTGCTGATAATTTCTCTTCTGCTTCGTACAGTGTCTTTATCATGGTAAATGCATCGTTCTTAAAATATGTATTAACTAATATCTATGCGTATGTCAAAGCTTGCAGAGCGTCTCTTATTTAGGTCAAGTTATTAAGTAGAATTAAATATTGTATCAATAAAAGTAAAAACATATGAAACTTATTACTAACAAATATGCCTTTGAACAAAAACGCATGATAAAAAATAGCAGTCAAATTCGTAGAGCTTTTCTAGCTTTCATATTTAGCTTAATATTCGTTTTCATTTTCACATCACTCTGCTTTTAATTTTTCCTTCAAACACATTATTACTTGGGACACTTAGAAGGAAAGAGTTTTTTCAACATTTTTGAAAAATTTTAAATATTTTAGCCACTTTTCGCAAAAAACTGAATATTGTCATACGTAATCGCAACCTTACACAAAATATGAAAATAATTAGGAAACATAGTTCACTATGAATATTATAAAGTTTATATGTACATATGTATATGTAATCCAAAAAATCTTAAATCCTCAAATATACATGCATACGACTGCTTCCTTCCCTAAAAACCTTCTTCTGGCATCACCAGATGTTCTACTAAGCTCCTTTTGTGACCTTCATCAACATTGCGTTATTTTTATTTACATCAGACCAAAGCGCCTTGTCACGCTGAAGTTTCTTTAAAGCGAACGTTAGGGACTAAAACTGTCTGCGAACTGCCTCCGCTGCAAAATTTCGCTGTTTTTTCGTTTGTGTGTATTTCAATTAAAAATTTCCGTAAATTATTCTGCAGCCAACGCAATTACATGGGTTTTCTTTTGTTTTTTTTTTTCCTCGAAATCTGGCAACTTTTGTTTTAAATTTAGGTTGCGCTGTTTATTTTCGCTTTTTAATTAATATTTATAGTTTCCGGAATGTCATTTGTGGTTTTATTTGTTTACACTTCATGAATTTATGCATTTAATGTCATCGCGCTGAAATTCGTTTAACTTCGTAGTTTTGTTTTGTTTTTCATTAGTCGTTGCTCGTCGTTCTCTCTGTCATTTTACATTTACTGTTGCTTTTTAGTTAATTTTTTCTGTTTCCCGTAAATCTTAATTAGCTCAAGTTCCGCATTTTCGTGCTGCCTCCTCACCGGCGCTTGCAACGCGTCGCGTCACAGCTCTTATCCAAGCGAAGTGCCCACTTCTCTTTGTTGTGCTGACATTTAATTGAAACCGTGACTTTGCTGCAGGATACACTTGTGCCATAATTAATCCACACAGTCATTCCGCTGTGGCCGCCGACGCCGCCGTAATCCGACATTCTGCGCACTTACAGAGATGGCTTCAGCGCGCGACCTGATTGTCGGCCTGATTAAGCGAAACGTTGCAACGCGGATTTGTTCTTTTGTTTTTGTGCATACACCAGCGCAACAGCACTCTCAGTGGTTTAAACACTTTCTTGTGGTCAGTTTGTGCCCATTGACCGCGCGTTAGCGCCTCTGTCGTCTTGCTCTTCAATCGCGCGACCTCCGCGCAACTCATGTGTCACGTTCTGCGGCAAGCTTATACAAAACTAATATCGGCGCGATCTGACTTCGTGGTGGGCGGCTGTCGTTGAAAGGCGTAAACGTTCACCAGCAATTGCGCCATGAAAATCAGGCAAAATAAAACAATTAAAAGAATATATAGAAAGATGTCGCGCACCATGCCGACACGTCGACCCAATTCGTTGTACGTAGTGCGTGCGCGTTGCTTAGTGTACCTGGTGGCGCGGCGCAGTGAGGCGGAAGCTCGAGCGCGTTAGCCGCAAAGCTTATTTGTAGAACGTGCGTTGCCTTTTGGTGGTGCGCAGTGCGAGCAGAGAATAGTTCGTGGAATATCAGAGGATACCGCGCGCGCTGCTCTTTTTTTGATGCAATGTGGCGCGCTCAAAGGATATATTCGCAGCTGCTATCGCTTCAAGTGGCAAAGATGTGGCGGATAATAAGGGCAGTGATAATACGTTCCCCGCTTGCGGGCGGAAACCTGCGCTGAATTGGAACCGCTGCAGCCACTGTTGTCGGTGCGTTCGGATGAGTTCAACGAATCCACGCGTGGTCTATGCTTATGACTCTGCTAAAGCTATGCTTTACTTGAATTTATTGGGGCAGGTGTTGCCTTTGCCAATCACAAGGCGTGTCTGTTGCGCTCAAGATTCTGTTCAAGCTGCTCAGTGGATGTCTTCCGCCTTCCGCTTTCTAGTCGCAAACGTTTTTTCTTACGCTTTTTTATGTATCCAGTCAACCCGTTAGGGTGTTTGTTCTACTTTCCTCTCTACCAGGTTGTTAGTACGATCGAGACTACAAGTAGAAAGTAAAAAAACAATACTATGAAAGCACTTTCTTCATTACAAACAAACGTGTTGCAAGTGAAATGTTATAAAAAGTATCGAAGGAAAGCTGAAGTTGGAGGAGAACTAGAAAACCACCAACACTGAGGCGCACACCAACAGCGCGCGCACAATATACAAATCAACAATGCAAATACATAACGAAATACTTGTCGTTGCAAATGTGAAATCAAATAAAAGCAAAAGTGTAACTGTTCTTATGGCGGCGCACATGTGTGGGCGCTAACTTGGTGAATTTACATGCAACTATGGATGCAACATGCTCAACCATTGTAAGTACGACTAAACAAAGCGGCAGCAATATGCACTCCATGCCACTTCATGTGGCAACAAAACAAACCTGTGCTCGAAAATGCTCACATCCACACACTCGCACACGTATATTATATGCTACATACATTAAAAGTGCGGATTCCAGTTGCAACACGAAGTGGCGGGGCACAGCAGTGGGAGAGTTGTACATGTCCTTTGCGGCGCCTAGCCATGCAACATAATAGCGCAACGACATGGAATCTCGTATGCGCATAAGAATATGTGGATGAATTTATAAAGTTAGGTATTGGAAATGCAGTGGCGAGCATAATGACGACACAAAATATTTTTACAAAATGTTGCGTAGAAATAAATACTTTGGGAAAATTAACAAATATATTTAGAAATAGCTTTCCAAGCTGGTTTCCGGAAGCACCGCTCAAAAATGCTCCCTCGCGGTGGTCGGCATTACAGAGGAGAGCCTCGTCTCAAACCAAACAAAGCTAAAATCATCGGTTGGTAGATGATTTATCGAAAGATTTGGAAATTAGTTTTTGGCACAGCTGCAAACAAAGCATAATTTTAAATCAAATTTTTACCACAAATTACCTTAAAAAATTACTTGCAATATGACAGAATCCTTCCAACAATCACAAGGTCATCTGTTTGGAAGAACATTGAAAGCCTTAAATAAGTTCACTCCACTAGTTTCTGAGAAATCATAACCACCGACTTTGAAAACGATATTTGGAAAATACACGACTAAAGGTTGAAGTAGCCGACCGGTCTATCTTAACGGGTCGCTCTCTCAAGGTTCTATCTCCTACACTTTCATTGCGATTGACTTGAAACTTTGGTTAAATATTCTAGACATATCATAGTGTTTAAAAAATATTTGAAAAATACAATTTTCAAATCCACCTAACCGCTAACGTACTGTTTCCCTTGTTCTTCGAACCTAGTATTTATTTATAAACACTTATTACATCTTGTAATGCTTCAAAACTTCAACAATGTTTTCTTCAGGTCATTTAATAAAGAAGTACATATTTCTCACATCATTCATCTTGCCTTTAATCAGATAACCTCATTATATTGGGTAGTCGAAACACTCTTTTCGTATTTTTAATCACACTTCAATTCATTTTTCTATATTTATAATGAACTTTAATGAAGCAAATATGTACCATTTTGGTAGACCAGTTTTTGCCATTTTTCCGCTAGAAACATTATTCTATCAGCGGAAAACTTTTCTGGTTTCTCGCCGATAAACTGCGACTGCGATTTTCATCGACTTTTCTTGAAGCCGACTTTACTCCATTAAGGGAGTTCTGCATTGGCCGATACAAATGATATTCCAATGGTGCAAGATCAGGGCTCTATGGTGGATGCATCAAAACTTCCCATCCAAGCTCCCCTAGTTTTTGACGAGTCCTCAAAGACGTGTGTGGTCTAGCGTTGTCCTAATGGAAAACTATGCCCTTAATGTTGGTCAGTTCTGGGCGCTTTTTTCGATTGCTTGAGTAGCTCATAGTGGATGACTCCTTTCCAATCAAACCAAACACTCAGCATAACCCTTCGAGACTTCAATACTGGCTTTGCGACCATTTTTTGAGTTTCACCATGCTTGGACCATGATTTTTTTCGCACATTATTGTCGTAATTGATCCACTCCTTACTCCTACCACCTGTTACCATTCGCTTCAGAAATGGTTCTATTTTATTTGTTTTAAGAATCGCAGATATTAATTCGGTCCATACAATTTTTCACAGACAATTCATGTGGTACCCAAGCATCGAGCTTCCTTTTGTAGCCAGCCTTTTTTAAATGGTTCCCAACCATTCCTCCATAATTTCATCGACTTTGTCAACGAAAGGTCGACCAGAGTGAGGTGCATCTTTCACATCGAAATTTCCAGAACGAAATCGAGCGAACCATTGCTGTTCTACACGAACTGATACAACATCGTCTCCGTAAACTTCACAAATTTCATTGGTGGCTTGCGTGGCATTTTTCCCTTTTTTATACAAAAATTTCAAAATACTATATAGCGAATTTCTTCATTATTTTCACTAATTTTGGAAGAGTTGTAACTTATTTTTCCAACCTCCTCGAATTTAATTCTTTTGTTTTTTGTTTGGTTAAGTAAAGCTTAAAATCTCACCTTTCCAAAACTGTATGGTATGACACAATGTGATTAGTAGCACTGGAGATATACGACTGCAACATATCTATTGGCAAAATACAAAAAGACTTTTTCGATTACCCAATGTATATATCTATACTATCTATACGCTGCACTTTTTCCACACATTGCTGTACATGTGTGTGGCTTGCAAATGATATGCAAACGTATTTAATGCGATGGCAAACGACAAACGTCAGTAGGAAATTGAAATTTGAGGAAATGAGGAAATGGAAAAGAAATTTCTCCGCAAATATTTGCCACACTGCAAACCGTTAGCTTGTGTCCCTGCTATTCGAAAGCAGAAATTGTAAATAGCATTACAAACCAAAGACCATTGCGTGCTCGAACAGAAACAAAGCTCCGCATGTCATCCGCATTTGCACCAGCGCCGATGCAGTGCTGACCCAGAAGTGTGGGTGTGCGTGTGTGTGTAAATGAGCACATGGAAAAGCAAATGTGGATCAAACTGCTTTCAACTAAGTGGATGGCTGTGTATTACGAAGTACGCATTGCCACAAGTGCGAGCAATAACCTGATGTCTTCTACCCAGCCGCCGAAGCCGAAGCATACCTGCGCTGCCCAGGAGACCACACACCCGCAAATGATGTGGCTGTGGTATCTATGTCTTCCGCTGCGCCCTTGTGAATTTTCCATGCTTCAGAATATAAACGAGCTCCACAAAACCCTCATCTTTATTCATTACCTTCGCTGGATCGCTTTGCGCTCATCTTCTTCTTTCCGACAAATATATTTACATTTTGATTACAAGAATTTCTTAAAATTTTCCTTTCTTACGATCATTAAAACCTCCTTCTTTCCGCTTTATTTCAAATGCACACTAGGGCACACACACACACACACACAAATGAGATTTTTTAGTAAGTACACAAGAGGAATTGTGCAGTTTCTCTTTTAAGAGCGCAGAGTTAAGGCAAACGCAGATAACACTCGGTTGCTTCAGTTGGGCGTAATCACTCGAAAGGAATTCAATAATCCACTAATGCTCAGGTTCTTCCTTCCGCGTTTTGTCATTTGGGTTGCTTGTTTGGTGCAACAATGAAGCATTTGTTTTAATGCAGTTGCAAACTTTGACAGCCAGTCAGTGAGCCAGTTAGTTTGCAAACGCGGAGGGAAGTTTTTCAAACAATAACAACAACAAACTTTATTCACTGCGTAACTTTTTCATTTATTGCTACACACTATTTGCCATGAATTAAGTTTGGGCTGCTTTGTTTTTGGCTGCCGGCAAGCTGTGCATGCCACACGCATACAACTGAACTTTGTGGTCAGTTTGCGATGCCGAAATGGCATTTAATAGAGCGCCACGGTGTATTCAAATAAAATGTTTTGTTGATGGCAAAGCACAAAATTCAAATGAAATCGTTCAATATTTGTTTGGTCAATATTTTTTCAAGAAATTCTAGCACATATTGTTTTTGTTTTTGCGTGAACATTCATAAATAAATGCAAACACTTGTTTTTGACTGCCAAAAAAGAAGAGTAAGCGCTCGAATTGCGATATTTAAACTTATGTACTGTTACAAACTTTAAATTGCGTTCACACAATGGCCGAGTGAAGCCGAAGTTTTGATAAACTCACAAATACAGCTAAGCGAGTCGCTTTTTGCACTCATGTTAGCGAGGAATTGTGTTCAATTTATGCCGTGATACTTCAAAAGTTTATTTAAAAATTTGCAAATGGACGAAAATGGATGCTATATTGTTAATTAAAAAAGTATTGGTAAAAATTAAATTGGCCGAAATATCCAACAAGCCATTAATTGTTATTAATAATTACAGTTGTGGCTCAATCACTCAGCACATTTATTGTCGCGCTGTAAAAGTTTATATATTTTGTAGTCGAAAATGAAATGGAACATATTGCTCTACCACTTTTTGTCATTTTGTGCAAAACTTTCATCAGCAAAAATCGAGATTTCCAGAACGGAAGCGAGCGAACCATTGTCGGCACACGAACTGATAGAGCATCGACTCTGTAAACTTCACAAATTTCATTGGTAGGTGGCGTGGCATTCCTCCCTTTTTTATAAAAAAAAATTCAAAATAACGCCTTACTTACTCCTTACTTTCTCTCATTTTTAAATAGCTTTTTAAATGAGGCTTAAAATCTCACCTTTCCAACACTACGGCCGCAACGACATCTATACATAGACAAAACACGAAAATACTTTTCCGACTACCAAGATAAAAAAAAATTATTATGACAAAAAAAAGTACCCGGAAATTGTCATTTAATTTCCCAGCGTAAATGATATTTAAATTTTTGTTTTTTGTATTTTTCTAAGTTGGTAGGAACATTCTTAATTACTATGCCAAATATCAACCAGTTTTCATTCAGCTGCTGCTCACCTCAGTAGAGTGTTGCGATGTTTACAATTAATAAAAATATCGAACAAAGAAGAAAAAAGAAAAAAATTATGCTCAGAACCATTGAGAATGTGAGAAAAAGGAGTTTTATTAAATGCTCAAGCCTTCGAATGGTACACAG